CTCTCTTGTTTCAGTGGGAAACTTTCTTTAAGTGAAGATGAATGCCAACCAATGAGAGTCTCGGCAAATATCAACAGGGCCGGGTGGTGAACAACCCGGGTGAGTTGGGGTTAATGCGTGAGAGACGAGAGGTGTGCCAGCCTGCAGGGCTGCCCCGGTACAGCCGCACCCTGCTGGCTGCAGCTTCTACAGCCTCCTGAGCAGCAGCAGCACCATCCGCCATTCCCTGGGCACCTACTGGGCACCAGACTCACCTCCTGTGGGAGGTAAAATCATCATCCAGCTAAACCCATGAGGAAACCCAGGCTCTGAGAGGTGAAGCAAGTGGCCCARTTGGTCCCAGGTAGAGCTGAACTTTGTGCCTGCTCAGTTCTCCCTCAGAAGCTGGGCAGCGCAGCTTGACCCTGGACCTCCTGATTCAAAGTTCAGCTCTGCCAGGTACTGGCTGGATGACCTTGACCTTGAGCCTTGTGGAACCTCTCCACAACACTGTTTCATATTTTTTGCTGGGGGTGGTGGTGGTGGTACTGGGGATTGAACTCAGGGGTATTTTATTTTGAGACAGGATCTCACTGAGCTGCTTAGGGCCTCGCTTTTGCTGAGGCTGGCTTGGAACTTGCGACCCTCAGCCCCCCCGCCCCAGGCATTACAGCCCCTGTTTGTGTTTGGACCCCTGGTCCAGGGCACTTTCTGTTCACCCTTAACCTTTGCAGTGTCTTTCCATTTTCTGTGCCCACGCCATGACTGGGGAGAYGTCTCTCTTCCCCAGGGAGGGCCATGACATTGAAGTGTCCTGCACCTGCCCTTGGCTTCCGCAGGGAGCCTGATCTCTGGCCCAGGGGTGGGCTCTGATGGGCCTACACTGACCCATCTCCACGCTTTGCAGGGACCCCGTGCAGATTGCAGGCTCAGCCCGTGCCCTTGGCCTTTCCAGAGAACAAAGGGGGCTTCACCCAAGCACCGGCCTGACCTGTCCCTCTCCTGCAGCGCKCACCCACCCCTCCCAGCGCCCCCCATTTCCCTCCCTGAGGTGGCCCCAGCCGACCAGGGAGCCCTTGTGGGCAAGGACCACACGACTTCATGCTTGACCCCCAGTCCCCACACAGCACTGGCACCGGGCAGCGGGTGTCCAGGGAATAGTGGGCATTCGGGGTGGGAGCGAATGAAGATGGGGGGCCGCCGTCACAGACCAGCAAAAAGGGAGATGGGTTTTGAGCCTGTGTCCTGACCTGTCCCCACTGCCGACACGTGCTGGCTGAGAAATCCCTTCTTGACCCGGAGCCTGAGTTCCTTATGTGTAAGGATGAGGTCATCACAGGTAATCTGGGGTTCAGAGGGCCAAGCGGGTGTCAGGAATCCTCTCGTGAACCTCCCGTCTTACTGAAAAGGAGCAGAGGTCTGGAGCCATGCAGGGCCTCCCACAGCAGGTGGGCGGAGGCTGCGACCAGACCGCACTGCTGGGCTTCCAGTCCCGGGGTGCATGTGGGCAGGCGCCCTGAGCCTGTGCGCGGTCTCTGAGAGCYGGTGCATTAAATGCAGATGCTCCTCCAGCAGAGACTGATCCAGGAGGTCTGAGTGGCCCCCGGAAGTGACTGTTTAAAGGGCTCCCTCCRACTCCCCACCTAATAATACTGATGCGGGAACCCCCGGGCCGAATTTTCAGACATGCTGCGAACCCCTGCAGCTGAGAGCCCAGACTTAGAGGGTGAAGGATAATAATATGAATATACTTCTAATAACAGAGCAGATGCAGATACACCACGCCATCTGCCAGTCACTCTTCTGAACCCTTTACGYGTTTCATTCATTAAATTCTCATGATGAGACTTTTAGGTAGTGACTGCTACTGTTCTGATTTTCCAGGTGAGGAAATGAGGCATAGAAAGTTTACTCTATGCTGGGGCGCGGTGGCGCATACYTGTCATTCCAGTGGCTTGGGAGACTGAGGCAGGAGGATCGCAGTTTCAAAGCCAGCCTCAGCAATTAGTGAGGCCTTAAGCAACTCAGAGGGACCCTGTCTCTAAATAAAATACAAATAAAAAAGGGCYGGGGATGTGGCTCAGTGGTTAAGCACCCCTGGATTCAATCCCTGGTAACCACCCCCCTACCTCCCCCCCCCCAAAAAAAAAGCTAGCTTAAATGACATACCCAGGACCTTGCATCTGGAAACAGCTGGTCAGCCAACTTACTATAATCATCATCATTTTTTATCTTGCCCCTGTGTCCACCTGGGCCAGATGTCCCCTTGGGCGGCATGGAGGGGGTGCCCAGGGAGCCTGTATTCCAGGAATTAGAGCTGTGTGTGCTTAAGTCCAGGGAACTGGAGAGATCGGC